CCCCCCCCCCCCCCCCCCCCCCGCCGTCTCTCTTGCCTTCCAGTTAGATTCTCAAGGGCTAGTTTGGGAGGAAAGGGTGAAAACTGAAAATGCTTGTGCTAACGCACTTGCCTTTGGCTCGCGCGTGAGCATGTAGTATGTTTTCTTCATTTTTTTTTTCATTTTTTTTCAGATTCGTCGTCCAGAGAGGACCCCGAATCTTGGTTGTCCCACACAACACCGAAAATAAACACCCGGTCTACCATATGCATCCCATCATCATCCCCAAGGTCGCGTAGGGTCAAAATTCTATCGCCAAGTGTTTTTGAAGGCCGAACGCAGGTTGGGTCCGGGTCGAACTGCATTCCGTGCCTACAGTACACCCTATGCACATGCCCAGTGTCGTGGGGCACACTCCGTGCTTGCTGTTCATCTCTTCACAAGGCTGCTGTCATTCGGGATATTTGTATCTCGTTATTCCTTCGTATTGGGTGTGAGCGTTTTATTATGTACGCAGACACTCTTTTCGGGGGGGGGGGAGGAAATGATCCATCGTCTTCGCATTTTTTTCAACCATCCGTGACCGGTGCGAGTCCACTCCTCGAGTGCGAAGAAACAAGCGAGTTTTTGTTTGTTTGTTTTTCTCCCATCATTGGACTCTGTCGTCTGCCCCTCTGGCCCCTATCCTCCACTTCTACTAGCTAGACGACCCAACCGGGGTCACATTGGAGGGGGGGGTTGGACCCCCTCCTGCGGTTCATGCCTGAGGTATTTTTATCGCGAGAAGGGTACAGCAATCCCTTCCCTCGCGACTTAGTAAGTCGATTATGGTTTTCTAACAAACGAGCTTTGCAGCGCGTCGCGTTCATCCTAGACCAGGATTTATTTAGTGAGAAAAAAACTCTCTCTGTCGGGACTCGAACCCATGACCTGGCCCTTAGCAGGCTGCGAGGCTACCCACTAGACCACCGGGGCGATCGGTGTAGGGCCTGTATGTATTGCTGGTTTGATGCGGCAGCTCGGCATTAACACCGAAAATCACCGCGCGCATACGCGACGAACTCGAGCAAGAATCACAGGACTTGTGTTGTTTGCACAAATTGTATGCATACAATCCAGCCGCGGTCGGTGTGGGAGGCAAAAGGGCGTCATGTGTGTTATGAATGCACGCGTGCCTCGCGCGTTGTCGCCCCGCCGCGCGAGTGACACTAAAATAAATACAACCTGGGGGCACCGCGCCGTGTTGGAAAGCGAGAAAGGTGCCAGTCAACATTTTTTCGTGTGTTCCGTGTGCACCAAGAGCTGGGGTTCAAACGCCGTACAAAGTAGACACGATGAGTGGGGGCTCAAAAGAAGGGCTGCGTTTCGATGGCGGGGAGAGCTGTTGTTACGGAGAAGTCTGGTCCTGTTTGCGCTGGAGGGAGCGCGACAGGATAGGTACCCAGGGGAGCGACTCGTGCCCAACCAACACCAGCACTCGGGTAGCCCACAGCGGCCGGACGCCAAGCTCAACAATCTTTCGCGTGGTTTCAACTCTTTAAATTTTCCCCCGCAATACTGCCCCGTTTCTACTCGACCTCTGGCATAGTGCATGCAGGGGTGTCGAGGTGTTGTGCCAAAGTGGAGACGCGTGTCTGGTGCAAACTCCAGTTATCATGAAAATCGGGACTTGAAAACAGAAGACGGCTCCTCTAACCCCCACGATGAGGAAGGCGTAGTCATGACAAGAGGAGACCGACGACGCCTGCGGACACCGGCGCCGGGGGCACGCAAGCGTGTAATCGGCTTCACAACGGCAGTAGCACATCAAACGAACACCATGTGCAACTCGAAAACTGTTTTCATCATCACGAGACGCCGCCCACGAAATGAATTACCTGGCCTGTCCCACGTACAGTACCCTTTTGCTCTACAATTCCCTTCCTGGAAACCGATGCACACCGCCCGGCCCTTTACCCTAGAAATCCTTCGAGCAGCATCCAGACCCTACTCCTTACATTGCTTGCTCGACTTCCAATCCCGTTCCAAAAGTACCGTCGTGCCGATCACACGCAGAGAGGGCCTTGTACAACAGTAGTTGTTGAAAGATGAAGAAGCACGCTTCCACCTGAAAAAAAACAAATCACGAAGCAAGCATCTTCCATCATCATCATCATCATCATCGAAGGCCGGTTTCCAGCGCGACCTTGCGGTAAATCTCGAAGTCCTTGCGCTTGAGGTAGGCCAGCATCTTCCGCCGCCTGGCGAGCAGCTTGACGTATCCGCGCTTGCACGAGAAGTCCATCCGGGCGGTAGAGTTGACGAGAGGGCGTAGCGCGTCGATGCGCACGGTCAGCGCTGCAACTGAGACGGGAGAGTCGACGTCGATTTTCGCAAACGCCGAGTGGTTGAACCATGGGAGGGCGGGGTAGGTAGGAGGGTTACGGTGGTCCACCATGCCAGGGATGGAAGTATTGACATCGTTGTACACGGAGGCACACCGGGGGAGGGGGCGGCATACGGAGGCATTTTCCCACTTGTCCACCTCATACCAAGTCGATTACTGACTTGGAGGCCGCCTTGCATCCGGTTGTCATCCTGCGTCAATGCCATATTTGAAATGCATGAAAGAAACCGTTCGTTTTCCCGTACGATACACAGAAACCACGTCAGCACTTGCCGCATTTACTTTAGAGACATGGCGCTCCTTTTCTTGCCGACGACAAGGACGCTTGCTTATCCACGTGTTGACACGCATGTTTGTATGACAACAAACCGCACATAAAGGAATTGTCGGACTGGCCAGCCCGCTTCCAAGCATGTGCAATTTGACGCATGTGCAATTTGACGCATGTGCTGTACAGCAGTACATAGTGCACGCGCAACCTCCGGTATGGTAAGGCTCATTGACATACACATACATGCCACTCACTCTGGCATTCCGGCGAGCCCGTGTCTCCGGCATGTCGCTGCCATTTCTCCAATTCTAGCCGCTTGAGCAGCTTCTTCTTTTGTGGCCTGCTCGCCGAATAGCAGAATGGCACGCCCGTGCAGATGCACACACAGCACCGGGCTAGAATGAGGGTTTCGAACCTCAACCACGATTTGTTGTGTACCAAGCCATCGAGGGGGGGGATGGAGGGGGCGGTGCTTGAGTGTCGAGGACGAGGGCGGGGCACCGCTCCCCTTCCACCCTCGTCCGCCGTTTGACGGTATACCAAATGCATACCACTTGAATGCTTCCGCGACAGATTCGTCTGCGCCATGACCCCTATCAACGAAGAGAGACGCCGCCAACTTCCGGGTGCTATTTTCGTTTCTGCCGGACCGTACAGTACAGCAGCGACTTTTGTCTGTGTCATTGCCCTCCATGTTATTACCTCTCTGTTGCCATCGTAAAATCTAAACGTCTCCATGAGGGACTATTTACTCCGCGGTACACCAGAGTACCAGCGAACGTTTCTCATGTGCTCAAAGCTGTACCGCCGTAATACATCCTTCTTCGCATTCTTCAACTCGGAGTGTACGGCAGTTTTCTGCTCTCCTCTGGCTCGACACATTGGCGTATCCGAGCATTCTCTCCGCCCACTGCAACTACCTCTACTGGACAACCTTCCGTGATATTAATAGTTTGTCCAATGACTAAAGGCGCGCCCTTGTACGCCGCACTTCGTGGTCTGCCGGCCTCTTGCAGCCTCTCCACTGCTACTGCTGTAACTGCCTCCACAAATGCTATCCTTTCCTCTCGCAATCTCTCGAGCTTTCACCCCTCGCTTGTTCCGCTACGCTATCCCTGCCTTGAGAACATGTCGTCTTCGCAACGATTTAACTCAATTTTCTCGAGGGCACATAGTTTGCTATCCTTCACAGTCTCGACCTCGATTCCCATCACGTCGCAGCAATACCCTTGTAACAAGAAGCAGCTGTAGTCGAGTTCGACAGAGAGGTGCTTGCGGACAAGACCTCGTGCATCATGCTTAACAGCAGTACCTCTCGGTGACATGCACGAGATGATCCCCCCTGTCAATGAAACAGGCTTCTATATTTATGTGCCGCCTCCCTCCGTGGCATGACGACACAAGTCACCACGAAAGATGGCCCAGCCTGCTCCAAGGCTTGGCACCGGCGAACGCGAGCCTCCGCAAAGCACAATATTTAGAAGCACAGCAGCAGTCAGTACAGTAGTATTCTACCGCACCGGGGATGGTTTATATGTGACTGTAGATACATTCAGAATACGACGCAAGATAACACACACCCTGCGCCGATTTTCAAAAGCTCGATTTATCAACAGCACAAAGAGCCGTGCCGAAAACGGCGGCGTTGAAACCGTCTGGTCGAGAGCTTAAGTATCCGAAAACGCCTCGTTTCGTTTATTTTTAATTTCATCAATATTACCCAACGAAAATCATATGCATTCTCTTCGTCGTGGAGTCATCGAGCTTTGAATGTCGGTCCAGGGGGGGTGTTATCTTGTGTCGTACTTCGAAGTATATGGCAGTCCTGTCAAAAAAAGGGAGCACCCAACCAATGTCGTCGCTGTTCTTGACACTCACATGGTGCTGTTGTCAATACTCAGTACCCGCCGCACGGGATCACTGACTTTCACGCCTTCCGGGATCTTAATCCCATACACCATCCTCTCACTAGCTAGTCCCCGCTGCTGCTGCGGCCAGTCCCCACCCCGGGCTAACGCCACCGCTGCACCAGGAGCCGCACCATTTCTTCTAAGCAACGCCGCCGTGCTTCGTGTCAGCAGAGCTTGCATCGAAAGAGGACGAACAAGACAATATGATGGTGTAATAGGTTGACTGCTGCTTCGTGCGGCCAGCAGTGGAGCAGGCAATGCTCAGGGTTAAGTGCTGAGTGCCGTGTGCGGTGCGCGGCGCGCGGCTTTGTTTGGTTGTATTTTTGTGATCAGGGGACTCGCAGAATAAATATTTATCGCTACCCGTTGGCAACGACAAATACAAACTGCGTCGCCTCGAAGGGCGGGGAGATCTTTGATACAGCGTTATTTGGTTTATATTTTTTTTTTTTTTATTGGTCCTTGCTCCGTCAGTACGAGACGCCCACCGCGCGGTTGGTGTCGCAGAAGAGACGATCCGCTAGAAGGTGCACTGCTGAAGGGTAGAGGAGAAGAAACGACGCGAATCGGTCCACAAGGCCCGACGTAACACTGGTCAAGGCGGCTAAACAGGTACGCCGGGCACTCGCAGATGGTATCCTGTTTTCTTTTTGACCCCCCCTCAAAAGCCCCCTGGGCAGCAGGCTGCATGCCACAGCAGGCTGCGTGTTCACAGAGCCGTAGGAGCCTCGTCGTCGCCAACAGGCATAATCGAACCTCGGTATACTGTTGTCACACTCACACTTGAGGTGCTGGTGCAAGTTTTGGGCGTTCGGTAGCTATCTGTGCTTCAAACCGAAGCTACCTCGCAAGAGGGCCTCAGCAGGGCTTCAACACGCGGAGCATCTCGGTGCAGTCGGTGCAGCAGCGGCACCAGGCCCAGGTTTGCCTTACGAGGAGAATCTTGCGGTCTCAGCGGGTGCGTCGTATAGGTCAGGGTCTGTACTTGCTCAGGCTGAAACAGCATCGAGGATTACCAATTGTAGACGCCAATACCGGCGATTCGGCCAGCAGCTATATACCGCCATTTTCAACGGTTTTTTCGGTTTTTCCAGGATGGTCCGGCAGCGCCGCGCCTCGTGTGGCAAAGTGGTGCACGGCAAAGAACCGGCAGCGGCAGGGGAGCTTCGGCGATGCTTCGCATGTGACCGCCCCGGTAGCCGCGACGGGTGCTCGACCAATTGGCAGCACGTGGTGGACTCCGAATACTGGGCGGAGCTGGGCGAGTGGTCTGCAACGGTAGGGGAAGGGTGGACTCATGAGCGCGACCTTGTAGGAGACCCTCTCAAGGCGGGAGAGTGCATCTGTCGCCGCGCCGACTGTGTGGTTAATTTGTACCAAAGGTACAAGGGGAGGCGCCAGAGGGAAGAGAAAGGAGCTTTGCACACCATGGTGATTGGGCAGCGGTCGCCGATGGGCAGGTACCCGTCGACGGGCTCCCAGGTATGACACCGCAGAAACACCACCTTTAGTGCGGCGGTGTAGGTGACTCATGCGTCCTGTCATATGCATCGATCTGGGCGAACTCTAGAACGTTGAAATTGTAGGAAGACGCGACAACGTTGACCCCCGTGAAAACTTTCACCCCGTTCTATTTTTTCTGGTCAAGTTATCCTTTCTACGTTCCCACGTGACTACGTAGATATGTATGTGAGTTTCTGGGATCGCGACCGTCACCATGTGCTGTTGATGGTGTAGTATTCTACCGAGTGGTGGACGTCCCATCTCTCAACCTTGCATCGGTAGCCCTCGCCTTACTCCTTATTTCTCGAGTGGCATTGTTCCCTTTTCCTTTGTTTTGGTTCTCACATAAGAAAATGGTAAGTAAGAGGATGCTGTGGTCGTGCATCGTTGTCTGTCCTGCCCGTGTTGGTCGAAGAGTCTCGTGGCAGGAGAGAGGGAGTCGACCCCACCCCCACAAGTCAACGGCAAAAGATATGTAGAGCGCCCGCGAGGAGGGTGGAAACAAACATATTTATGCTGCCAGCATGCCAGCATACTCCCTCTGCCAGGTAACACCTAACAAAATGAAGAAATATTAAGTACGAACGATTTTGCTTTCGCAATTTTCAGGTGCGAGCTCTTCTGGAACACATGGATCTGCAAGGCAGCGTACTGGATTGTTGTGGCTCGGCCCAAGACGCAGTGAAGACGGTCCTGAGTTCACACGGTCTCCGTGTCGCCACGAACGACTTGAATGGGTGGTATGTGTGTTGTGTGTCTCAGACCGACTTCGATGTCACCAAGCACTGCGGTTTTTTTCAGTGTTTGATTTCGAGATTTTGGCGTAAAGTTCGTATGCATAGGCTATGCTCAAACACACACGTAGCAATGTTTACCTGGCCGCGAATCAAATGGCGAATGTAATGCTTCACCACATGCATTTTTGCCGGCGCTCGTTTTTTTTTTTGCCCCCCTCCCCTTAGCTTGGTGGCCGATACCCACCTGGACGCCGCCACAGACGCTTTTGTCGAGGCGTACGTCGAGGACACGCGGCGTCCGGACTGGGTCGTGACGAGCCCACCCTACAAGAACGCCACCACCATTTTGAAACAGGCGATGCGGGTCGGTCGTATGGGAGTGGCCTTCAAGCTGAGGTTGACGTTTCTGGAGCCCACCAAAACCAGAGGGCGGTGGCTAAAGGAAAACGCGCCTGACCGGATAGTGGTGCTCCCGCGCGCTACGTACCGCGGAAGAGCGTGTAGCTCTACTGAGGCATGGTTTATATGGGAGACGGGGCGGGGGGGGGGAGGAGGCCGCGGGCCTGCTGTTTGCTTCTCGTTGCCTGACGGAGCTCTCTAGAGTAGACGTGCTTGTGTGAAGTTGCATAGCACTATGGTATTATTGGCATAGCAGTATATGTATGCTGGGTAAGTTGAATGGAAGTCTGCATGTTTGCTTCCCCGGGGCTACTACCGACGCCCCGCCTGTCCGCCCTGACGTGTTGGTGGTCCCTGTTGTTTTTTGGGGGGGGAAAGACGTCCGACGTTTGAAATAATTTTGGGCTGGAGAACCATGGCACAGCAGCTGACCCTGTTTTTCCTTGTGTACCTGCATGCACATGATGGATGGCCATGCCTATGTGTGCGCTATACGTGTGCGACTCGTGGCCCACAAGGCAGACATTGTTCTGGAAATGCACCGCAAATGAACTACTATGTTTGCTACATCGGGTTAAAATTTGCCCATGGAGCGTTGAAAAAAAAAAGGTCGCAGCCCACCCGCCGTTGTATTGTAACGTACCATCTTTAGTTCTCTGCCAAAAAAAACTGTACTGCTGCTGTATACCCCCCCCCCAACAAAAAAAAAACGCGTGCACATGTCTTGAACCTGGTACCACACCCTAGAAAAAAAAAGACTCGGTATGCACCAAAGTGTTGACCTCGAGTGTACGAAACACGCACGCATACATGTGCGCCAAGAAAAAAAAAATACGTGCACTGTGTGTTGAACACACGCACGCATAGAAGTGCGCCCAAAAAAATCCGCGTGCACATGTCTTGAACCTGGCACCACTCCTAACAAAAAAAATGACTCAGGATGCACCAAAGTGTTGACCTCGAGTGTACGACACACGCACGCATACATGTGCGCCCAACAAAAAAGACGTGCACTGTGTTGAACCTGGCACCACACACAACAAAAAAAAAGACACACACACCAAAGTGTTGACTTCGACTACACAAACCCATGTGTGCCCAAAAAAAAAACTGGACTGTTTTGAACCTGGCACCACACACAAAAAAAAAAAGACGCAGACACCGAAGTGTAGACTTCGACTGTACCACACACACGCAATTGTGCTGCGTAGCAAACCCACATGGCCGAAAACCACTTGTGGCAATTCTCATTTCTACGAGGAGAACACAACAGCCGAATGCAGCTGCACTCCGTTACGGTAGATCTTCGTGGGTCACGCAATGGGTTCCACCATTCACCTGCGAGAATAATATCGGACCGAGACACCGAAAAGTCGGGAAGGGGAATCTTCGCGTAAGCTGTTTTGCGGAAAAAACGCCTAACGAAACCCGGGCTAATGCCATGGTATCCCTGACAATGCTGGGGGGGACGCATAAGGCGCCAAAAAAAATGCGGGCTACCCGTTGTATTTTCGAAGTGTTGTTGGTGCAATATACCGTTTTTTGTTGTTGGAGGGGAGGCATATGATGAACCGGGCTGTGTTTTCTGCGCATGGCACACAGAAAGCCTCTCCTACGATATGTGCTAAATTTAATTGTCGCAAGGCACAAGCCGTTAAACTAACGGCGTTATATTGACGGTCGGATACCAACGCACATAACTAAGGCTCGTCGTCCACCAGCAAGTCTCCGTCGAGGTCGATCCCGATATCATCCATACCGTCAAGCGAATCGTCGTCTCCTTCGCTGTCCTGCGAGCCTTCCTCCCAAACGTCGTCGTAGTTATCTAGGAAATCGATCAATGCGCCAGGAGAAGTTGCTCGGTAGTACCTCGTATCATTTTTCGGGAATACATTTTACCAAGTAGGCGATGACGTCTCTCCCGTCCCCACTATACTACTGTGTTGTCTTGGAAAGGATGATCAGTCAGGTAAATTCGGCGGGATTCAGCTGCTCAAACATGCAAAGTACAAGTATGAAGAAGAAACCTTACGACAGTGTTGTGGTATGCGGGTGCTTGGGTGGCCCCTGAGGGGTAGCCAACATCAACAAAGTAGAATGTATATCTCGGCGCCGTCAACAATGCACAAGCGCAGCCGCTCACCCAAGCGACGCTGTGACTCCGATCCACCCTCCTCGCCGGGATTCCCAACATCTCCCCCTTCTTCCTCGGGTGTTTCCTCATCATCGTTTCCCACTGCTCCCGCGGGTGGGGTCGGACCCCCTGACTCCGACCCATCTTCCTCGCTGGGAAGCCTAACCTCCGCCCCCTCCTCATCGTGTGTTTCCCCCTCATCCCGTCCCACTGCTCCTGCCTGTCGGGCCGCCTCAGCGCGAGCTCCCACGTCTGACGTAAGTCCTCCCTGGGGATTCTCTCCCCCCCCCCCCCCTTGTGCGGGCGGCTCCCACCCTCCGTCAGCTGCATCGTCCTGATTCCGCGCTCCATGCCCCGTAGCCCCGTCTCCCGCCGGAGTCCGCGCACCCCCCAAAGCATCCCTAAGGAAGGCGTCGTATGCCAAACCTGCGCATAGATTTCGATGTACCGGTTGGTTGCACTACACGGTAGTGTAAAGACTCGTTAACATGATACCTTCCCTCCACCAAAAGAAAGGTATTTCAGTTATTATGAGTGGAATGAGGTACCGTGGAAAGCACTGGGCCATATCAGCCGCATTTTTCACTGCCGACTATCACAATAAAGCGTCGACGTATGTATGCTTATCCTGCGGAACTCTTCTTCTCGCAGAGAGGCGGACAAGGAGCGCGTTCATGATGTGTCATGAGCACAGCGTGATGTGCGGCGAGACTGCCGTGACTGTCTAGCTGCGGCGCGTTTTTCAAGGTCACTTCTAGTCACTTCGGCGATGTCCTCACCATTAGCCTTGCAGAACAGGCTACGCCGAAAACCTTGGCAATGTCAGTAGCCACGTACCTGATCCACCCAGCCGTGGTGCTCTTGCCTAGGATTATCCCCTCCTAGATAAGCTTTCCACCTCTCCGTCAGGCCTCTCGCCAGTTGGATACTGACGCCCAGTGATTAAGGCTTCGGGAGGAGGCGTGTTTTGTGTATAAGTTCTGCGCGCCAGCGGCGCATAAAAAAAAAAAATTCCTAAACCAAATAACACTGGATAGTTGACTTTTGTATGTTTCTTCCCCTGCTTTCTGCTTATGAGAGCACACTCAGCCCTCAGCAGTTGTCACGTTGTTACTGCCGTACGTGATGAGCGCCACAAAGCAGGTGTGTATTGAAGGAAGTGCTAGTAAAGGCAGCATGTGTGCACGAAATTTGTTTTGCGTGTCCAAATAATTTCGCAAGTCCCTGCAGGACCATATTGTGGTACTTGTCTGCTTTCTTTGCGGTCGATGTCGTCTACTCCGTACGCATTTGCTTCTTGTACTCAAGACACCACATACAGGCGTATTAGGTATGTCGACACCGCTAACTACTATTGAATTCGGTGGTTAAGATTTTGAAGCTTCCACACAGGAAGCCACACTGCTATCCCCCAGAGTCGCGCACCTTGACCGAAAAAGCAAGCTTCATTGAACCGGCGGCTCTACACCGTCGTTGATCACTGGTCTAGACTACCGCTGTACGACAATTTTGATATCCCCTACTCAACCGCGTTTTCGCTGGGAGCAGCAGCATTGCAGCATATCGTTCCAATCAACGACTGACGCCTTCTGCTAAGATACTCAGTTTGATTTGTAGCATCTCGTGCACCAAGAACGGCAACCCCGAACGCTCCCGCGTACCTCTCCCCGGCTATTATTTTACTTTTGTTCCACCACATTCAGACCAATCGCGATATCCTGTGTCGTCTCGGATTCGATATGATGGCCCATCTCGAGGCAATGCGCGGCAAGGGCATGGGCATCCGAGACTTTGAGATCCAAGACTGCGTGCAGGCGTCGGCGGCAGCCTTGCGGGTCTGGGAAGACAGCAACTTTCCTTATAGGTGTCACATGCGTAGATTGCTACAAAACTGCTGCTTGTGGATCATGTGTAAGCAGGGCACAACAGGCAGGAATGATACGGTTCGCGGACCTCCTCACATTGTCGCGTAACCTTGATGTCTGCTGCCTCTTTTCATCTCGGTCTCTTTTGCGGCATTGCACCCCCGACCGATTTATTTCTTTTTAAGCACTCGAACTCTCCTCATCCAAGCATTCCCTCTCCAACCGCCGCTTCCCAGACTCCCAGAAGACCTGCGTGCTTTCCTCCGTACGTCCAACGGTTTTTCGCTGGAATGGGCCTCCAAGCAACAGCAGCGCTCACCAGAAGAGGGAGGGAGTGGGGGCGAGAATGTCATCGGGAGAATTCGCGTCGATTCCCTTTCGGCGATGACGCGCATACCGCTAGACGAGGACGACCTCCGAGACATGGCCTACGCTCGCACTCGCGCGGCGGCGGCCGCGGCCGCGGCAAGAGCACGATCGTTGCCCCGCCGCCGCCCGCGTTTTCCGTCCTCCGGTCACGGTGATAACGGTCTCGACGCGAAAGGATTCCACGGCGGCGGCACTGCTGCTGTCCTCGCAGCCACCTTTGCGCCGTCTTCCTCGGAGGATCATGCCAAGACTCCAGCTACGAGCAGCAGTAGCGCTTACGGCATCGCCGCTTTTTGTGTTGATTCTTCCTGCGAGGTTGGGAGGGTGGCGCTAGTCTACGGCGGTACCCCGGTTATGGGATCCGGCGGCGATACGGATTTTGGAGAGAGGCGTGAACGTCCCCGCAACAGCAGCAACGGCAGCACCAGGGAAAAGGACAGCAGCCGAAATAAGGCCTCAGCAACACAGGAGCTTTCCAACCCGGAGGTTTGGCTGCAGGACCTATCTTGCAGGTGGTACATGAGGCTGCAAATCTCCTTGAAACAGAAAACTTGTTCATGCGCACACGCGTGGGCAGTCAACATTCCATTAAAGCCACCATATAACTTATGGAACAGGTAGCTGTTAGCGGACGTAGTGTACGGGCACATGTCACATGTGAAACTAGAACGTTGGCAACTCTACATCCGTGTAGCGTTTGTGCGATACACCGCCAAGCGTAGCCAGGGTTCGGTTAGTCAGCCTCACGAAACACCATGACTTCCCGATAAACGTGCAGAATGTACCCGTAGTGTGCAAAGTCGACCTTCCTTGTGCAACTAAGGTCCCTCGTCATCCTGCTGCGTAAAAAACTTGTTCTTCTCCGTCATGAGGAACGAAGAGGTCACAACCTTGGCGGCGGCCATCTGATCGTATGCCGTGGTTGTTCTCGTGGCGTGATTTTTGCCATGGCCACGCACAAACAAGCATCACTGCGTTGCCACATCAACCAGAGCGTTCTTACTGCTTGCCTCTCTCTGTGGATATTTCGGCTTGATTCCTTGGTGCTTGTTGAGACAGGTGGCACTTCCTTGCGGATGGCTTCACGAGCTACTTCCGTATGATGGTGCTCCATCTCGGGGTACTTGGCTGGCAGCAGGCGTTTACACCTGTTGGCTTGAGTCCCACCACGGAGCAGGTGGCGTATTCCTCGTGGAGGCGACGTTGACGTTCATTTGACTCAGTTGCAAAACGAAATGCCGTTGATCAAGCCTCTCGCTGCTGGTGTGTTAGCATGGACGACATAGCTCGAATTGGCTGGCAGTGTATATGTCGAAATGGAGCAGTCCTCTTCCTGCCTCGAGTCGATGGTGTCGATTGCAGAAGAGCCGCAGCGCGAGTGCTATATTGAGGCCCCAAGTTTGCAAGATGGCCATACCAATGTGGCGCCTGAAGCGCCTCGAAATGAACATCCGTCGGCATGTTTTCGTAGAAATATAAACCGACCTTCCTTGTGTCGGCCTCCTCCGAACCCACTCCTTGTTGTGCGTTGATGCTGTTCTCATCACCGAACCACGCCACGCGCCTCTTTTGTTCTTTGCTGCGTCATCGTTACGTATTGCAACGACGCCGCGATATCGGCAGTGCATGCGAGTGTTCTGCCCGGACAGGCTTCTGTTGGATCAGCTAGAGTGGCGAGCAGAACGAGCGAACGCGAAAGCGGCAAGGGAATCTGCCGAGGCCGCTCATAACCATGACCAGCACGGTGGCGGTGTACAGGCGGACGTCCAAAGGCACAGCTAGATCCTCGCCGTATCTGATAGAGACAGACGACCAAAGTTGATGGGGCTACAAGGACTAAATGGAATCGTTGATTCGGTGGGGAGCACGCTAGCGCGCATGACCTGCAGCCAGGCAAACGTGTGCTGCGGGTGACACGTACATGCAAGGACCGTCTGTCTGCAAGATGCGCTGGGAGGGTCCCGAGAAGTTTCTAAGTCACTTGGCAATCACGGTTCATGTTCTCAACCGGTCTGAAGAACACCTTGCCTCGAACTTGTGAATTTACAATCCTTGGAATGGGTTGTGGGGCTGGTTGGATGTATACCGCCCAAACACGACCGACTAGTGACGCCATGTGTCGGGCCAGCAGCTATTCCTGGGCTGAGCAGTGATGCTGTTTAGTCCCTGTGCAAGTGCGGGTATTTGGGGGACTCGAGCTGACGGGTGCGAATCCAAAGGGTCAAAACTGGGGAGGTGAGCGTCAAGTCTCACACCACCGAAGAACATCGCTGGCGTTAAAAGGATCACAAACCCAGACATGCAAGGGAGTGAGGTGCACGCACAGCGGTCACGTCAAGTGGAGAAACACTTGTCGTCCATCCAGGCTCATCGCTTCATATGATGGATATGTACATTCTTGCCAAAAAAAACTCGTCCCGAGGACAAACACGCCGAACATTGCAAAGTTCTGACTACAGTTTCGCACTCTGCTACTGCTGCCCTCCCTCCGCCCTTCCCAGACGCGGCAGGGACCCCTCCAAAACATGTTTCAACCCCCGCCGTGTGGCAGTAGCAGCAGAAGAACGGTCACAGTTTCAAGCTCCTTTGAGGTTGTACCGCGACCCTTCCAGTTCCTTTACCTCTCTTTCCAACCTTTTCTGAGAGGTGAAGAGGTAGACGGCGGCCGCAAGCGCAACCGCAGGACCGAGCGGCAGCCAATAGAATAGCGGGTTGGTCACTCCGAAGTGTCGGAACACCGCAAGCCACGAGAAGAGGCTCGTCCATGACAACATGACTCCCGGTAAAATATGCCAACCGCTCCCCTGATGCATAGCGGATGAACACACGCGAAGGAATTAAACGCACGAAACACACGCGATATCCGAGTTGTGGGCTTGAGCGTTGCGACTGCGAGGCATCGATTGGGACGATACTTGAAATACTGTAGAATAACACTTGTGTCCCGCGTAAAGTATATGTCTAGATGTGTAGGACTGGGGCTCGTTTGTTTTGGTTGTGTCAACCCCAAAGAGCTGCGGAGTTCAACACGAGTGTGTGTGAATCCTCCCGTTGTATCTAGCCAGTCGTACAAGTGACATCTTCCATGGCTTGTTCAAGACCGTACTCCTTAGCGGAACGCACAAGCAGCCCCGTAGTTGCTCGACCGCGTCATCCTGAATTAACTAGTCGCTGCTCTCTTACTGCTGCTCATCTTCTTGTGCCACCTGCATTGGAGTATTAGCACAGCAGTAGTACTTTATTTACTCTCTCGGAAGCACGTTCGTTTTCACTCACTCTAGCCACCCTGTGCGCCAGGTACAAGCCCAGCAGCTGCCCGAGGTACGTGACATGGAACGCCGCATCCGGGACGTTCTCAAGAACAGCCCGGTGAGGCCAAGGCTCCCCGTTTCTTCCAGCTAGCAGCAGCTTCAGCGAGCAGAGTACGAGCACAACACCGCACGCTAGCAGCCATCCAGAGAAAACTCGCTGTTGGAGTGCAACGGTTGTATGCAGCGAGAGAGCGATACCCGAAGGTGAGCAAATGAGTATGTTTCGTTCTTTTTGTTGCGAACGGGAGGGAGGATGTTTTGTTTTTTTTTCGTCCCATCTCTGGCACCGCCTGCTTACTCCTCTTCGGTGCACACTACACGTTTGCCGCGTATGTGTGTGGTGACAGTCACAGCCGCGACGCGAACTGCTTGAGATTTGCTTACACACATTTGTAGAGGCCTGGACCGTGACCCTCACAGCCGTGGCCGGTTTCGTACGGATCTCCGCCTTATCTTTCTCTTAGTGTATGAATGCCGTTCACCAGTGTGCAGTAGTTCGAGCACTAGTGTAGTGTACAGAAGACGGTGAACAGTAGTATATGGCGAGGCGGCAACGGCATGGTGAGAGTTCATCAGGCAAACGGTTCTGCTTGACACCGACATGTACCCTTCGAAAACTGCGGCATCGCTTACTGCATAACCCTCGATATGTCCACTACTTCCCGCACAGGACTCACCGTGAAAAAGGTCGTCTGGTGCTCGACCTCTCGAGTGATTTCCGCTATCAACTTCTCTTGCTCGTCGCTATCGATAGTGATAGGGGCAGCAGCAGGCACGGCGGTTCCGGAGGACTCGGGTCTTCGCCGCTGTCGCGCGAGATACTGATCGCGATTCATCCCAACTGCCGAACAGGCCTGCGCGGATGATGACGAGGGCACACAAGAGAACGGACTTCCCGACAGACAGCCACACGCAGCAGCAGTCGTGGGTAAAGAAGGAGAGGATGCCGGTGAGGAGAAGGTACTTATTGCCTTCGGCGAGTGCAGTGCTTCGCCTGCTGCACCTCATCTTGTCGCAGCTACAGCAGTCGCACCGCACCTGGACAGTGGACTGTGGAAAGGACCGCAAAAAAAAATGGCGCGAAACGGGGTATGCCAACAGATTCTGCTCTGCGGGCCCGCTACATATCCCTCCCCGGTTCTCCGTGATGAGTCAACACAGCAGTGTTCTGTGCTCCCGGCCGAGGTATCGCTGTAGAAGCTCACACGCCCTCTTCTTGAGCGATGGCGCTCGCCGCTGCATCTGCGAGGCAGGCGAAGGCCAAGGATGGCGAGCAGCAGCAGCAGCTCTGCGCCAGCTGCCTCGCATGCCCCGCGTGTCTCCAGCTTTTGGCAGAGCCCGTGTCCTTGCCGTGCGGTCACACCTTCTGCAGAGTTTGCCTGGTCAAAGAGCTCCGTCGAAAGCCGAAGGAATGCCCGAGCTGTCACGCCACATGCCACACCAGGCAAGTGTAGAGTAGTCGTCACGTGCTGGATGGCCGAGACTGAGTCGCCTGCTGCATGGATTCGTCAACGAGTTGCGGTTGAATCGGTCCCAAAATCTGCCCCTTTCCCCGACGTGGCGAGGTTGTTGCGACCGACACCAGGGAGCGCGCGAGCGTGTGAACCTGTACAGCAATTGCAGCCACCACCTTATACTTGGTAACTGCATTGTTGTCGATCCCAAGTAGGCACCTACCAATGGCGTACTCAGCATGATAGGTCGCATCAGTATGCTCTAGGCATTGCATATGACACCGGTGATGTGTGATGAGTCAACGTGTCAAACATCCAATTCGGACTTCTTTTTTTTTATCCCCGGCCGGGCAGATTCCCCTCGCCCCCCGGATACCTCTCTCTCTCTCATGTGTCTTCTAAGGAGGCACTCGCATGCAACGCCGCTTGATTTTGCGAGCTTCCTCAAAATAATGTAAGCACACCAAACGCACGTGTTCCAAGCCAGGGAGGCAGTAGGCTGGCCGTACCACCGTTGTAAATTCAAGAATTGGCCGCCGATTGTCATACCATCAACGTAGAACATCAACTTCTGTCTCTGCGAGAGTTTCACCCGCACCAGCAAATGGGTGCGTTCTCCCCCTCTCCAGCGACAGCAGTAGTAAGGGTATGGAGATTTGTCAGAAGCGGCGACATCTCTTAAAAGCACGGTAGACAAACGTCACCGACGATTGTTATCCCCAGAAACAGGACCATGAGCACCGCCGTCCCTATAATAGTACTATAGAGAGTGATTACGTTCGTGAGTCAGTTTCCGCTGGCGCCATGATATCTGGCCTCAGACTCGCAGACTCCAGCGTATACAATCAAGTCTGTCACTCCCGCGCGTTTTACGAGGGTGGGGTTCCAAGGAAAATACTTGAATCTACAGTAGAAGACTTGGTGCTATGTGCGCGTTTATTCTGTGCTTGGATCGAATATGGTAGCCACAACTGCCCGTTCAGTCGCCATTCAAAACATGTCCCGTATGTCAAAACCACCCCGCCGACCAGCCAGAGAAAAAATACGGGGATGTTGCGCTTGAAAAGCGGACGGCATTTCTTTTTACTCCGACTCACTCTTGTAAGAAGCAGCTAGGATCTTGCCAGAAATGGTTCCGAGCCATTACCACATAAGGCACTAGACTACTGGCAGCCCATATAGCCGACGAGGTTGAAGGTGGGCGGATGCAGTCAGCGCCCGCTTATGCATGCATGTGAACCTTAAGAAGTTTTAGGCGAGGCTGGGGTTCTTAGGTCCAAGGTTGAAGGTTGTGGCCACTGCTGTTGTAGGTTTTAGCGTAGAGGGTTCTGAACCGAGGTCTCAAAGTTGTAAGATTTGGAGTTTTTCAAGGCTGTTTCAATTTCTTGACTGACTAGTTCTCAACAAGTGTGGGCGCTAACTACTGCTGTATGATGTGTACACCCAGGTATTTTGGACATTGGTGATTCCCCACGCCGCCGCAACCAACAACAAAGACACGCACACGGACGTGTTAACCTTTATGGCCGATCCCGTCTGGCCCAACACCGCAATCAAACAGTATACATTTCTGCATAACGAGCACCATTGTTTGTGTCTACCCGAGGTTTGCTTTTGCAACCCTTGGTGACTACGTGATAAATTGACTCTTTTACGTGGAAGACGTTCGACCCCTTCAGAACTCCCCAAACACACACAATGCCGTCTCGCTCAAAATGAACCCGAGCTGTCCACACAAACCTCCGTTTCTGCATTCAATTGCTGCTGGAAAAAACGAGTGTCGAATATCATTGTAACCACCACCCCTCCCGCATCTTCTCCGGAAAAAACAACATTCGAGCAGGGCGGAGGATCAACCGCAAAACGTGATGCTAGCTCAGATCGCAAAGTCGCTCTTCCCCGAGCTGCTGGAGCGGCGATTGCGCGAGACGGAAGCAGAAAAGGCCAAGTTCGAGCTGTGCCTGCCCGCGTTCTTCTATAGCGTGCCCGTGTTCCCCGGGCAGACTCTATGCGTCCACTTCTTCGAGCCCCGGTACAAGCTTATGATGCAGCGCATCATCAACACAAGCCGAAGGTATCAGCAGTATCTGCTTTTCTGTCAACAGCGAGAGAAAAACGCCACGATCAGAGGTGGGGCCCCTGGTTCTGTTCAGCCCCCGACCACCGGCCTCTGTTGTTTTTTACTTGATTAGAGTACACGATATTAGAGTACACGAGGCGCATTGAACCCGTTAAGATTGGTTGAGTCGAACTGCTCACTCTGCTGCGTGCTGTACTTTGAATCCAACCCATGCGCTCATCCTCAGGTCGGATGCTTGGCCGGTAGCCACGTTGTACATGGGAAGAAAATGTACGAAATACTCCTCCCTCCATTCACGCGCGTTCTTGACCAAATCGATCGATGATCCCTTCATGCTCTGGCCCCTGTACCTCGCTGGCAGGTTCGCGTACGTGCTGCCAGCGCCAGTACCGAGCACGAACGACGACGACCGGAACACGGACCAACAAGGCCGCATTGCCCTGGAAGCGCACGTGGTGAGCGAGCCATGTCCACGTACTAAATACCCCACCCCGAGTTCCGCGGCTTTATGTTGTGTGTGTAGCGCGGGCAGGAACGCTGACCTGTGTGCAAGCTGCTCGGGAAAAACTCAGGAATCGTGACTCTTTGTCGCCGACGGGAGGGAGGTTGCTATTATGAATTTTAGTACATCTCTACCAGTGGGTCTCTTGGTGAGTGCGGGACCTTAATTTGGCTTTTCGTTGTTTTGGTCAAGGATTTCTTTTACTTGTTACATCCAGCAGTGTAGTTGCTTGGGTTCCTGCTCGAAGCATGGAGGCCCTCCCCCCTCTGCTTGTCTCCGCTCGCCCGGCGGCGACTTGACTCAAAAAGTAACCCCCCCCCCCCTGCCCCTGTTTTCCCTGCTCCCTGCACATTTTGCCGTCGGCTTCCGCGTTGGAGCTTGCGCTTCCTTCTTCTCACCTGTGCTGCCGTGCCTTCGACATGGTCGGGTTGTCTGCGACAACTCTCTCGGTACATATCCCTAACTTTGTCCTCACAGCACTCCGACTGACTCGAGACCCCCCCCCCCCCCCCCCCCC